CAGCATCAGCATCAGCTGCTGTCTCTCCTGTTTCAGCTCTTCTATCTGGGCCTTCAGCTCAGCGTTCATGAGCTCTAGACGCTCAGACTCCTGGCAGGACAGAAACACAACCGCATGTGACTTTAATCCAACAGGACAAGATACAAGGAGAAACAATTTGGCCAACAAACCATCTCTGCTCAGTGCTGCCCCTCCGCCCCTGAAGCACAGGAGCAGCCTGAAGACCTGCCAAGGCACCAGGTCCCTCCAGACAGTTCATGCATTACCTAGTGCCAGTGCAAGGAAACACACAGCCACCTCCTAGGACAAGTCTCGGCTGCACCCCAGCAAAACCTCTGCCTGGTTGCTTGCCGTGGTCCAGAAGGGTGTTTGGAAACAAACCCATGTTCAATTTTTCACCTCCCATCTGCAAGGATCTACCCTTGTGAAATGGCTCCTTGTCCCTTGCTGCATCATCTGCCCGTGTCCCACCACCCATTGCAGAAAAGCAGCAAGGTGCTGAGAGAGTTTTTCTGCCTTGGGGTCACAGGTGAGAGGGCACCTGGCCTCTGAACAGGGAAACCTTCAGGAATTTGGGCAAGGGCCCAGCACACTGTCAGCCCCTGTCCTGTGCCACACTCCTACAGGTGCTCCTGCTCCAGCACTGAGGCAGGGACACTATCAGCCCTCTCTCCCCCAAGCCCAGAGCCCACCTCCAGCCCTCTCCATCCCTGGTACCATGGGCATGGGGATGCTCATGAGCTGTTCCTGGGCATGCCTTTGGCCACCACCTTCACAGCCTCGTGGAAAGGGGGGCAACAGGCCTGTATTTTCCCAGATAGGAGCACAGGAGCAAGGAGAGGCAGAGAGGCAGTTCAGGAGGGAATGTCGCCCACAGCTGAGGCACCTTTCTAGGGAGATGCCCCCAGCAAGGTCCCCGCAGGACAGGTCAAGGCACCCACCCGCTGCAGGAACTCTGTCCTCTCCTTCTTCTTGTTACGACATCGTGCTGCTGCCACTTTGTTTTTCTCCCGGCGCCTTTTCCTCCTCTCCTCTTCCTCATCCAGCTGCAATGAGATGAAAAAGTCCAGGTCAGAGCCAGCGAGTGTAGGGCAGGGCAAGGACAGGGGTAGCAGCCACCCATGCCAGCGGCCACCAGTGACGTGGTCTAACCCTGAGCAGGAACTGCATGCTGCTGCCACAGCCTCTAACTCTGCTCTGTGGGGACACAGGGAGGGAGAACAATGCGGTGCCCACAGCTGGGGACCCAGCTGTCAGGGGACAGACAACTCTTTCCAGGGCTGCTCTTCTCCTGAGAGAGGGCAGGGACAAGGGGAATAGAGCCCCATCCCGCAAAGACAGTCATAGTTTGTCACACAGACAACTATAGGCACAGCTCCGGGAGCAAAGTCATTCAAAGCCTCACACGCAGCCAAGGGCAAGAGGAAGAGAAACCAGAGAGATCCCCCAGCTGGGCCTGGCTGTTCCCCCGCTTCCAGTACACAGGACTGTCTGCTGCGGCTTCAGCGCCAGCCGAGTCACAGGGACACTGTGCTAAGGTGGGGGGGACAGGTCTCACATCCCCTGTAAAGAAGCAGGACACGGCAGTGCCTGCTCTGTTCGCCATGACTCAGTTGCTCTGTGCTGCCTGACTCAAACCACACAGGCCAGGCCAATAAGTCCTATGGGTTGGAAACCCATAATCAAAGTATTTAGGGATATTTACTACAAAGCCTGTGTAAATGGCCTATGGCATGCTTACATCCAAGAACCCAAACCAACTCCTTTAAGAAAAATCTGAGTGCTGGAGAGCCCTGTGAAATCAGCATCCAGGTTACACTTTGTAATACGACTAGAGAAGAAAAGGTCCCCAGTGCCTTCATCCACACTTGGCCTGGGACTCCAAAATTTGAGATGTCAGACCGAACCGCCTCGTTCCTATCAACTGATACCTGACAGCACACATCTTTTCAAATGCAGTGGCAGCAACATTTGCTTTATGAGCACTTCCACAGCCTATTTGCACCTTCTCTAAGGGCAGCTCCAGTCTGAGAAGGCAGCTGCATCCTTTCCTTTGTACCTCCCCAAATCAGCATGGTTGAAGGACACATCTCTGAGATGAGCCTCTTGCAGGACACAGTCTGAACCAGCCTTGTTGCTCCAGCGCCTGGGCTTAGTCACCTCAAAAGGGAAGTCAGAGATTCCCAATGCCAAGGCCACAGGGTGGGAATGGGGGGCCACCAGATTACCCCACACATATGCACACCGGTGGTGCCTGCAGGAAAGAAACCGCAGGTGCCACCATCCACAGCAAACTCTGCACGCTGCTAACATTCACCGAGTCCAAAGCCCACCAATCAAAACATCTCAATGTGAGGTGCAAGGGCAGGACGAAACACTGATGTGGCAGAGTTAAGGTGAAGGGGTACCTTCAGGTAAGCTGTGCATCCAATATGCAGCATGTAGCATACTTTAGAAGACAGTGCCCAAGTTTTATAGCCCTACTAACTTTTGCATCTTCTCTACCTTACTTCCCAAGCATTATACCAAAGTTGCTATTTTAGATGGGGCTAAAATACTAAGCAAAGTCAGCACAACCTATGTCTTCCGTAATGCTGGGCTGCCAACCACTCCTTTGCCAAGGCAGTGCCATGGGGCATCATGCACCACACGCAGGAGAACCAGAATGGGAACTGCACTGATGCTCCCAAGTCCAGTTAGAAATGGCCAGCTCTCACTGCACCCATGTATCTCAGATGTGGCAGGCATTAGCAAAAGTGATCAGGAAGGCTCTAACTTCACGCTCCGCTGCCTTTTCCTCCTGGCAGGACCAGGATACCCCACAGCATTGCACAAGCAGCTCTTACAAAATTTCCACACAGAGTTTAAGACGAGGTGGACATCAGGGTAGCCACCATTGCCCTCTGCACATTTACCAACCACTCATATACCCCTTAGATAGCTTCTTGGCCTTTTAGTTAAAGGATTGTTAGGAGGGCACAGAGTGGGGACATGTGCTTACAGCTCCAAAGCTCAAGAAACAAACCCCAAACTTTCCTGCAAAGTACTTCTTGGGTTGTAACAGGAACTGGAAGACCAAACAGTGACCACACAAGCTTCACAGTCTCCCTAGGAACTGCCTGACACATCTCCATGCCCTGTTGTTCCATTCAGTGAGGATCAAAGAACAAGTGACCTGTCCCTCTGCCCTTCAGGTTCCCCTTCACCCCACAGAGGGCCCTGCAGATGTCCTTTAGATGGGGTACAGATGCTCAAGGAGGGTGGCTCAGCACAGACAGTAGCAGCTTGAACTCTTGGCTCTGCTTTTTGACCACAGCTCCTGTAACTTCAAGAAAGCAGGCTTCCCCTTCTCTGCTTCTGCTTGATTTCCATTCAAAAAGGTGACATGGCCCTGGTACTGGGGGTTAGGACTCTACTCGGAGACATGAGGTACAGGGATGACCCCATAGCATGTTTCAGCAGCCAATCTCTAGGAGAGCCCTGCGAGTAGAAAGTCTGGGGGTGCCTCCTGAATTGCTTCAGTCATCAGCATCAGGGACAGAGGTGACCATCAGACTAAGGGGCAGGGATCTATCCCAGAGGGAGCACCCCAGGCAGGTTTCGATGGCGGATGAGCCCAGCAGCACCTGTCTCCAGCTGCCCGAGGAGGGAGGCAGCCTGCCCAGCAGGGCTGTCCCCTACTCTGCCAGGAAGCCAGCACCCACTGGGTGGGTTTTATGCACACTCCCAGGGACACACACTCCAGTGCCAGGAGATGCTGGTCCCCCCAGCACAGCAGAGAAAGCTGCCTGTGCCCCAGCTCACGAGGAGCAGCCTGCCCTCCCAGGCGCCGCACAGAGCACGGCATGCTGGTACCCAGCGTCCTCGGGCTCCGGCTTGCTGCAAGAGGAAAGCAGCTGCAGGCTGCATTGCAAAATTCTGCGTGGGCAGTTTCTTGGCTACTCACAGGATAAGCAGCTACTGCTTCAGCTCCCCCAGGCTTTCACTGCAAAGCCTGTGCCAGGGGCAGCTCCATTTGCTGTCCTCGACTCCTCAGCTTCACAGGCCACGCAGGGGAGGAACCGGCTGCAGGCAAGGCAGCCATGCGGGGCCGCCAGTGGATTTCCCCTTATCTTTCCTCCACATGGTGTCTCAACAACTGGCTCAGAGAACGCTCAGTGCTTCCAGTACCTGCTGTGGGGCAGAGCTGCCCTGTCCCTGTTATGCAGAGGCCAGCGAGACCACATCCCCGTGCCCACCAAGCAAAAGCAGCTGTTGCAGAGCCAGCTCAGAGGTGCCCGAGACGCCCCAGGAAAGGAGCTGTGACTGGGAAGACAGCACAACTACAGACTCCCTCTTTCTTCTCCAGTGCATGAAGTGAGGTGGGCATTGCACACAGTTTGCTGCCAGATACCCAGGACAAGAGCTTGGGACAGCACTTGGCTTCAGCTGCCAACCCACAACTGCTTTGCTCATAGAGGGACCAAAGCCATTAGCATCCCCCAGGCCCTTCCGACAGCCTCCTACAGCATCCTAGCCTCAGCTCCTGCCACTGCAGAGCTGCCCAGTCCTTCCCCAAGTGAGCTCCATGGGATGCTGCAGAAGCTGATCAGTTACCTCTTTGGGCACAGAGCTCCTGTGCAAGGTGATCAGATGGACTCCACCATCCAGCGGAGTCCAGACCCATACCAGTTCTCCCTGCAGAAGTCCACTGCAAGTGGCTGGGGAAAGGAAGAGGTATCCTCCCCGCAGGCAGGCCTGCATGATGCTGAGCTTTTGCCATAAGAGTTGGGCCAAAATAAGTGTCAGCACCATTTGGAGAGTGGAGCTGATGTTTTACACCCTTCAGCTCACAGCTCATCATGGGCAGCTTTTCACATCATCTAGCATCTCCTCGCTAATGTCTCCATTAAATGCACATCACCCCATCTTCACAAGGCATCATCTGAGGTATCCTCATGCAGGAGCAAATGCACTGTTCAGAAGGGTTGTTTATCGGACCTGCTGACAACAGCCACCACCCTCACCAACATGGGGTCTCCAAACTGATGGGTTCCCAGCCCCATCTGCAGGCAGTGGGAGGTGCAAACATTCACCACCAGTACAGCAAGGGTCAAGGAGTCAAAGACTGGACAACCAACACATGAGACAACCACACAAGGAAAATGCTGTACAAGTGTCTCCCAAGTCCCTGCAGCCTGGATGGGATGTGCCAGCCTGCAATACTGAGCAGAAGCTGCCCACCTTCCCCATCCCAGAAGCCCTGAGGTGAAGCCAGGCCCACCCCACCCCTCAAGCAGCACAAGCTGAGTCACTGCTGCCACTCAGCGCTGCTCGCCCACGTACCTCGTCCCTACAGAAAAGGCAAGACAAACACCAGCAGCACCAAGGGCTCATTGGCATGAGCATCGCACGTGCCCTCTGACAGGCTGTGTGGCTTCTCCTTTGGGTGCGTGCCTCAACCTAGGGACATGTTGGCTGTGCCAGACCCCACTCCACAGGCAGGGTTTGATTGCAGGCGGCTGCCAACGGCTGTATGGGACTGCTCAGGTCTGGGACACCAAAGCCACGACTCTCCCGTGCCTGAATTTCTGTCCCTGCGGCATGGGCTGGAAGAGGCAGCCGGTGGAGCAGCTGCCAACACACGTGCACATCACCAAACAGGCAGCGTGACATGCTTATAAAACACGTTCCCTGGCAGGAAACCCAAGCACAGGCAGGACCAAAACCCAGGCAGGTGCAGACAATGGCCCTGCAGGGCCATCTGCAGTCAGCAGCCCCCGAGACTCACCTCACTTTTCACAGGCTGAGGTCTCTTCCCAAGCTTCACCTCCAGGAAGTGGAGTGGTGAGATCATGGCCCCGATGTTGCGGATGTCAGCGTACTTCAGCTCCTCGGCAGTCAGGGCTGTGCCAGGCAGTCCTGTCAAGGGGCCAAGCCCAGGCAGCGCGCCGGCCGTCAGGGACGGGTCGGGGATCTGCCCTGGCATCATAGCAGGGGAAACAGCTTCGTAGGCTGGAGGGAGAGTGAGACACAGCCCATTACAACCCAGCGACAGGGCCTCACGACATGGCACAAGTCAAATATATTCTACAGTTCCATCACCTACGGGGTGCAAACCAGGGAAAGCAGCCGCT